TATTTCTCTTGGTTTGTTGAAGGTCTTTCTTGTTTTGATTTGTTTTTTAAAGTTGATTGAGAGAGGTCCCCTCGACAGGTCTTGCCACACCACAATCCTTTCTCTAGCCTCCCAGCTGGCCAGGATCACAGGCAGACATGGGCATGTCCAGCCATGTTCAGGTCAATCTGGTATCCAAACCTGGGCCTCCCACATGGCACCAGTCACAGGTAGGCCTGTTCTTACTGTTTACACTAGAATGAAGAACACTAGGCAAGGAATTCCATTCTGTTTGTCTGTAAAGGGCAAGCCTGCCTCTCCTTGTAAGGAACCTGGGTAAGTTATCAGTCTTCCTTCCTGGGACAGCACCCACTTCTAGCACCTTCTAACTCAGCTCTCCAGGATGTTCCCACCGCTGTCATGTCCTCCCCAGGCCACTCTGCCAGGGCTTGGCCAGGACTGACACAGGAGCAAGGAGAGTCACTAATTCTCGTTAAGGCGGCAGGTCCGAAGAGCTCTCACGTTAGCCACATAGGAAATTCTACATTCCCTGGTAGCTGCCTTCAAGAGTTAAAGAAATTAATTTTAATACTATATTTTTTAACCCACTGTATCTAAAATATTCTCACTTTTGCATATAATAAATATAAAAAATGGAAATATTCTCTATTCTTTTTTTCCTACGAAGTTTTCAAAATGCCACATGTGTTTCACATTACATTCCCAGCATATCTCATTTGACCTAGTCGTATTTCTTTTTTTTTTTTTTTCAGGCTTTTACCATAGGGCACCTGCACTCACCAGAGAGAGAGAGAGAGATGAAGGGAGAAATTCAACCCCAAGGGGATATCTACACTGCAATCCTTTCTTCTCCGTTTTCCTCCTGGGATCCTGGACATGCACATACACACTCCAGGTCCAGGACTCAAACTGCCATCAGCCATATGGGACTCCAGCGCTTTAACCACCGTGTCACCTGCTGGCCCTGCCCTCTCATAGTTCAAGTGCTCCGTAATTACCTGTGACTGGTGGCTCCTATATTATACAGTGTGAATCTGGGTATAGGCGAGTAACAGACCAGGGTGCCTCACCCAGAGAAAGACTTACACGGTGGGATTTCAGAGCTTTTCAGATCACACCACAGTGGTGTTTCCAAAGGTGTTTCCTAATTTCGCCAGTTCTGCACCAGGATCCCTGGCTCATAGGGTTTAGTGAGTGAAGCACACATTTCCTATGTAGACAAGTTTGAGGGCAGATCTGAGTTCTGCCACTTTCTAATTATGTGTGATGGTGAGCACATTGCCTAACTTCAGAGCTTGGGATCGCTCCTACAGGGAAGAGCTGGGCCTGCTTCCTTTGCAAGTTCAGTGAAGCCATATGCCCAAACCCCTGTGACTTGGGTTGTGCTGGACTCTTCCTCTGCTAGTGCTCTGGGGTGCTCTGTGTGGACCCTCACACGGGCAGCCACAAGCTCCTTGCAGCATGCTAGCATCTTCTCTTGATGGTCTCTTTGTTGCCCAAGAGCCTGGCACTGGCTGCACCTCCTGCCAGTTACAGCCGTCTCTTTCATTCCTCCTTTCAATCGATATTTATCACATACTCACTCTTTCACCCCAGGCCCTGTGCCAGGCTCCAGGATTTCAGCAGAGAATTAGATAAACGTGCTCCCTGTCTGTGCAGAGCTCAGCTCCAGCAATGGAGATAGACACCAAACAAGACCAAACTCAGACTTAAATGTGTATCACATAGATCCTTCTTTATTTTCTCCAAAAGCCTATATAACTTCTACTCTGAATGCCCATCCTGCGGATCAGTACAAAACTCAACCTTGGTTTTTCTCAGAGCTCTTCTGCCAAGGTAGAACAACGATTCTGAGGTCTAATGCCAGGTACCAGGGAAGCCCCACCCCACCCCACAGGCATCACCATGGTGATACTGGCTGGTCACTATGGTGACACCCACCCTCCATCTTGGCCCCTAGACATGCTTAAAGCAGAACAGTCTTGTTGGGGCTGGGAACTCGGCCTCCCTCAGTTAGTCTCCAGCCCACCACCCTCCTGGGGGAACTGCTTCTTTGGGTCCTACCTCAGAGGGGGTGTGGCTGCCCACTGCTCCTGGAACCCACAGACTTCTTGGTCCCTGCCCCACACTTGGTCCCAGTTCTTAGTTACAGGCAGGCTCACATATCTTCCCCCTCATCTTCAGAGGCCCTCCCTCTCTCCTTAGGACCCTCACAACACCCACTGGGATTTTCTCAATGGACTTAGGCCTTGGGAACAAAAGCCAGGAAGGAAAATCTTGCAACCAGGTATTGCTTTCTGCCCTGCCATGAGCTTCCCAGTGAGGCAGAAGCCCAGAGAGGCTCCCGCTGGAATGAAAGGAGAGAAGAAAGGAAAAGGCCCCTGGGGCCCACACACAGCGATTCATATTGGAACAAATCTTCCTGCGAGGTTGGGCAGCCTAAGCTAGCAGCTTCAGGTGGACGAGCTTGGACTAGGACACCCCTGGGTTCTGCAGTGCAGGAGAATCTAGTGTTTGCCTGAAGAGCCTTCCCAGGAAATGAGAGGGGAAAAGACAGAAGGGGTCAGACCCTGACTAGAGTGGGAGGCCTGTGGGGGGCTCACAGAGGCATGGGGGAGAGGACACAGAACTGGGATGCCCTGGTGAGCTCTCAGCCCACTCACCCTCCCCTGTGCCGGGCAGCATTCAACCTCGGCTTGCATGCTTCTACTCCCAGTGAACTTGCTTCCTACCATGGCAGCCTCTTCCCACTGTTTACACTGGGCTGAGGTCTTCTTTCATGGGACTTGTTGCTCCTGACTCTGACCTTAGGCCACAGGGGAAATGTAGTGAAATCAGACCCCACGTGATTGCTTATATTGGAGTGACCCTGCACAAGTAGCGACTTCTCTAGGACTTATTCTCTTCATCTAACGATGGTGCATAGTAAGAGCCCCTACCTCGCCGGCTTTGTGGTAGGGGAGTGTAGGTGGAATACCCAGCACTCCGGGCCTTGGTTCCCTCTTTCTCTGAGGGCACGTGTGCTCGGGCTCTAGAGGTCAGCTGGTTGGATTCGAAACCTAGCTGGGCCAGCTTACTAGTCGTGTGACTGACAAAAGGCAAACTACTTCATTTCGCTGTGTCCAGTTTTCTCACCTAAACAAATAAAACTTACGATATTGGGTCATTGGAAAGGTCACGATGGTATTTTTCTATGTTTGTCGAGGCAAAAATGTGTTATGACTTTTCCGACGACCCAGTGGTATCTACTTCAGAAGGTCCTTGTAAGTGTTCAAGGAGTTAGTCATCAGAACAATGCGCAGCGTGTAGAAGGTGCTGAGTAGGCATTAAGCGCTATGTGTCATTTCCTTCCTCCTCTCTGACAATGGGAAGATGGCAACTGTACTACCTCCCCCACACTGAGTCTTCTTTGTTCTGGGATAAAAGACATCTCCTTCAGGAGATGCTCATTGGCCATCCTTACCGAGGTAGAGGGACACACTCCAGAGTGTCTGTGGGTGTCCTCACACCATGGGCCCAGAGCTGAGCTCATCCTCTAAGGCGGCTTGACTGTGCAAGGAGCAGAAGAAGCTGTTGTCCCTTGGCCACCTCCTCACTGAGTTCCCTTACTGTCCCAGGAGACAGTAAATAACCACCCTGGCCTCTTAGCACAGCTCACTGGAGGCTGTAGCTCCTCGTGACTCTCTCGGTGGTGACAGTCATGAGTGACATCATAACTGAAGACAGTGGTGTAGTGTCACTATGTTGGTGCTGTGGATGGTGTGGAAACAATGAAAGTGGTAAAGGTGTTAACAATAGGGGGCCAGCAGATGGTGTAATGGTTACATCACTGGACTCCCATGTAGCCGATGGCAGTTCAAGTCCCAGACCAGGTGGCATAAAACTCATTCCAGGTGCATGTGCATGCATGCCCAAAATCAAATTAGAAGAATGGAAGAAAGGGGTTGTGACTTGGCCACTCCACCTGGGAGGATTTCTTACTTTCTGTCTCTCTGTCTCTCCAGTGAGCGCATGCACCCTATAGCAAAAATCTCTCTCTAGGAAAAAAAAAAAGATGCTAACAATGGGCAACAGTGACACTGATGACGGTGGTGATGGGATAGGTGACACTGATGGCAATGATGGAAGTAATGGAGATACCGTTGTGAGGGTGGTGCTGGCAGCAGTGGCGGTGCAGGTGAGGTGCCCACACTGATATCAGTGAAGACTGTGATTGGATAACAGTATTAGAGGTGGCGACAATGGTACTGGTGATTCTGATCGCCATGACCCTGGCAGTGCTCCTGAAAGTTCAGGTGATCATGACAATGATGTGCCAAGAGTGGTGACCATGACAGAGACAATGATAATAATCATCGTATCATGAAGCTAGTATCACCACAAATAAATTGTTCATTTAGCCAGGATGTTATTGGTGATATAAATGAGTGTTTTTGCCATAGGGTGCATGCACTCACCAGAAAGAGACAGAGAGATTTCCAGCGAAATCACCCCCCAGGGAGCATGGTTGTGCTGCATTCCCTTTTCCTCCATTCTCCTCTCAAGATTTTGAGCATGCACACACATGCACCTGGCGTGATTTTTAAGCCGCCAGGTCTGGGATTCAAGCTGCAGTCAGCCATGTGGGAGTCTAGCACCTTAACCACCACACTACCTGCTGGCCCCAATGAGGGTGATATTTCAGATGATAGCAACAGTATGGCTATGGCAGAACATTTTCATAGCAACGTTCGTGGTTATTTTGGTGTGCTGACAGCTGGTCGTGTGGGTGCTGGTGATGGTGCTAAAAAACAGCCTAACAACAGGACTTGCACTTTTTCTTTCAAAACTACTCATTGAGTACTATAGGACCAAGAAAAAAATGGAACACTGCTGGGGAGGTCTCCCCAACAGGTGACAAAGCCACCCTGTGCTCCTCCAGAGCTCCCTCCCCCACCTGCAGCCCTCTCTGCACCATCCTTGGCATCCAGCCTTCTGCCCTTTGCTGTGTGTCTCCTCAGGGTGAGGACTCCCCCTCTGAGCAGAGCCCTGGGGAGTCCCCAGAGAAGCAGGGTGGCATGGCCCAGATGGCACCAGACCTGAGTGTGCTCCAGTTCATCAAAGGTAAGTGAGTTCGGGCCAGGTTATGGGGATGCGGGGTGAGAGGAGCGCTGGAGGCTACACAGACTCCAGCCCTTTCCTGCCCTTCTCTACTCGTTGCGGGATCCTATAAGCACCCTACACTCCTCTGAGTCTGCAGGCCTCTCTGCCCGGAATTCATTTCATTGCCATTCTTCCGAATCTTGCCTGTCCCTCTCAGTCACGCTCAAGGGCCACTTCCTCCCTGTCCTCTTGCTGTATGGCTCTCCCAGCCAGCAAGTCTGCTTCCCTCCCACCTCTGGTCTTGCAGAACCTCAGGACTTTATATCAGCTTGGATCTTTGCCATGTACTTTCCAGCCCTTCCCACAAGCGGTGAGCCCCTGAAGGCCAGGGCCTGTGCTGGCTCATCTCTGACCCTTCTCCTCCCCTACCCACTGCTGAGCCTGCAAACAGGAGGCCCTCAGTAAATGTTAATTCCATTCCCAGGCTGTGGCATGGGTGAAGGAAGCTCTGGGATGAAATCTAGAGACCTGAGCTTTTATTTTGGGTTCTTGACCTCTCTGAGACTCAGTTTACCCATCTGTATAGTGGGAGGTAGGTTCTATGTTCTAAGATCCATGCAGTTCTGATCCTGGGACTATGAACTCAATAGATCAGTCACCAGGGTCCACATGGTGACCAAGCCATCTTTTTTTATTTATTTATTTTTTTTAGAGATTTTTTTACTATGGGCATGTATGCTTGCTGGAAAGACAGAAAGCAAGAAATCACCTCCCTGGGGTTAGGTGACCATGCCACAATCCCTTCTCCAGTCTTCTCTCAGGATTTTGGGCATGCATATACACATACAAGCGCCCAGCATGAGTTTCAAGTTACCAGGTCCAGGACTTGAACCATGGTCAACCACGTGGAAGTCTAGTACCTAATCACTATGCCTACTGCTGGTCTCCGTTCTTTCTCATGATTCCAATCCTGTGAACACTGGGTACCTGCTGCCAAGCTCAGAAAACCCTGAGAGGCGGGACCAGCAGTTAGTGTAATGGCTATGTCGCTGGACTCCCATGTAGTCAACCGCGGTTTGCGTCCCAGACCTGGCGGCTTAAACTCACACCGGGCACGTGTGTGTGCATGCCCAAGATCCTGAGAGGAGAATGGAGGAGAAGGGATTGCGGCGTGGCCATCCCCCTGGGGGGTAATTTCTCG